TTAAAGGCATACCGTACAGACGACAATGCCAAACTAATGTAATAAAGATTTCTCCAAGGGTTTGCTCTTCGACTATTGCGAATGCCTACGTAGGCATTATTCTTTATTACCAGGTTAGGTTGAAATGGCAATATTTTAAACGTTCAAGAATTCTTTAAATCTCTAATTGAGTTGAAAAGTTAACGCTATTCCAGCATTTTCCCCGCATGAATGCCAAAATACTATTGCAAAGAGAGTCCTAAAATGCTTATAACGACTTGCCAAATATGGAGACTTGTCGAAAAAGTGGACCGATCGCATCAGGAATACGCAACAAATAGATTAATTATCGGCCTCTAAAGCTTAACCATGCCATCCAGTCGTTTCGTGTTTCAAAAGAAACTCAAGTAAATTGTAGCTTGAATGTATTCTAAGCATAACATTTGAATAAAAGCGTTTTCCCTCCGAAATCGAAACCATAAAGTAAACGAACAAGTTAGGCCCTCTGTAAGCAACATATCTTCCTCCTTCCAACCCTCTCATTACCATCATGCCTGCCGGTGTAGGGGATATCCCTTTAGTGACTTATTATATACAAAAAAAATCGGAAACTTTTTCTCAGTCCATTAACTCTGGACAGTCAGAGTTTATATTTACATTTCAATGTAAATGCAATTTTAATAAACTTTCCAAAGGATGAGTATCCACAGCCTGCCCAAAGGAAAATATAACATTCGTTTTATTTAAATTAATTTGTATAACCCGGCAGCACTGACACTGACACTGATCTACTATGTTTTCAATAAATCACCCAATTAACAGACGAAATTTTGCAAATGAAAATCATTTCTCCAATAATTTAAAATATATTTCAGGTGTTTGTGATAATTAAATTGTAATGAATATTAAAACATATCTTAGGGATGATTGGAAACAATGCAATTTGTTGCATAATTTAAAGCACTCATATTAAACACCTTCAAAGAATCTTTAGGTATATATTGCAGTTATTGCGACCGCTCGACAACGACAACGACAACGATCCAAGGTTAATTTATATGATACTCGATTGGAGGGGGAATAAGCAAATAATAAAATATTATATTTACAAAAACTTAAAATTTACACTATTTTAGCATATTTCTTCACAGTTTCATGTCTGACAACAGCAACAAAAGAAAAAAAAGCAAAAGTACATTAATATGAAATGAAAAAAGGAAATTGTGTACCTCGCTTAGTTCATGGTTAAAATGTAAATGTTGTTAATACGGAAGTTCATATTTATCTCCCCCAAGCCTTTTTCAACCGTTTTCAGTAGCCAGCAATGGAAGATAAGTTTATCAACTACGTAATCTCGTTTGCAACGCCTCGGATATTTCGGAAATTTTTTTAATCGCCACAATGCAATGGGTAATACATCCATGGCCAATACAAAAAACAAAGGATACTTGCAAGTATTTATGAACAACTTCGTGCACACAGAAATGATTCCAAATTGTTCATAGTTGAAAAACAAAAAAAGTTTATGACGCCTAGAGTGTCCAAGATTTGCCATACACCGCCTGCAGCTTTCTCGCGTACATTTAGCGATAGAGCATTCGCAATGAATGAATGCATTGAATACTCGAAAAGGAAAAAAAAGCAACTTTTCCGAATCGCACCATAAAACAGATAATAGGGTTTTTTGTAATGTAAACCTGATTTGCAATTCATATGCGTATGGAAAAAAGATGGTAGTGAAGTATCTGACAATAAATTGGTTGTAATTGTTGCATGTGTACATTTTAACGGTAATTTAAAAAAAAAGAAAAAATACACTTAAGTAAGGAGAATAAAAACATTAAAAACTTATTAAAGCTCAATATTTTTATGATAAAGTTACGGAATTATTAAAATGTCAAAGGTTATGTGCGTCAGGCTTATGCAATTTGTAAGAGTTAATTATTTTTTACTTCATAAAAGCGCGTAGGTAGGGTAGATGGTAAGTTATTTCAATCATTGCTCCATCAACATCAATGGCTGGTGGAATTCATCCATACCATGAGTTCCAACAGCTGACTTACACGCGTATTCATCAAAATTATAATATGTTGGTCTTAAGAATCTATTTCTTCTAATAACTTTAACACGCTCTTCTGAGTGTTACATATTGCATGAAAAGCTTAGGATATCAAAACCGTAAAGCAATTACGTGTCTTAGCTGAATGATATTATGCTTCCTTTTCAGTGAAAGTTCTCGTTGGTTGTTAATTCATTGACATAAGTAAGGATGCGAGTATTAAGTGTTTAAGTTGTTGCCATTGTTACTTTCAAAATTCATACAACGGCACTCATTAATAATGGCACTCTTAGCTTACTACACAAGTAACAAGTAAGTAACAAGTATGTGGTTGGCATGACAATAGCATACGTCATCATGTAAATGTCTTATTTGGCGCCATTGTTCCATCCTTCGGTTGGTTACGAAATGCAAATGAATTTATTCATGATTGTCCGCGACCATTACTCCTGATAGCTGCAAAACTTTGATCAAAACGAACCGAAAAACTTTAGAACAAACACTTTGTACAAAAATGTAAAAATCGAATTTGGAAAATGAAGGAAGAAATTAGGAAAATTTCCAGAACTTCTTTAGTTCTTCTAAATGAATTCCCCCCCCTTTCACTAGACCATGTATGAGAATTTCCTTAAAAAATAGCTCCTTAGTCAGTTACTTAGTTGCCTTTCTGCGCTTCGCATTTCCGGATTCGTTGTATAATGTGCGTGAAATAGAGAGCGTAGCTCCTACGCATACACGCGAGTTTAAATATTTACTCAAGCTTGGGCTTAAGTGCTTTTCTACCTAATGTAAAAAGGGCTGCAATTAAATGTTTGTCGCTAATGCCAATGCTGCTGCTACAGCTGCTGTTATGTATGTTAATTCTCAAAGGATTATTTATATACGAATGTTGAATGTTAATTATACGCCCTGCTGAACAGACGAGTATTTGAGATTTTCTAAAACATGTACGTTACGCAATGCGACTGAAAACTGTTTGTTAAATGCTTTACATATATGATATTCATTCATGGAAAAAGGATTGTATGGCGTGCGTACAAAGGCATTATGGGTTAAAACAAAAGATGACAAAATAAATAACAGCTAACTGGCAAAAAAGAAATAGTTCTGTATTTGACTTAAACCAGGTCCCGATGATTATAATATGCTATATTGTAGACATGAAAAAGCTTATATAACAGTTGAAAATTTAAGCGAGCATGTAATCAATTACCCATCGCTTTGAGTAACAACCATGATTTATTCATGTGTGAATGTTCGCCTTTCAGGTTCTTGTTCTGTCCGTTAAAACGACGAAATCGATCTTACATTATCGATAGCCATCCTAAGTTATTTATTCCTTTTAATCACTCTTACCTTTTTCTGGTGCTCTCCCAAACCGGTAGCTGTTTGCTTTAAAGGTCTTATTAATTAGAGCTGCTCAGCTACTCGGCAAAGACGGGTTTACGGGTTATTATCTGAAACCTGGCAACAGGTTTTCAACTTGAAAGTCTAAGGCGAGTATCGGAAAAGGAATCTCATTTTTTAGAAAAACAGGACATTTTCTTATCCCATTCGGTTCTCTGGCATCGAGGCCATCAAACTTGCTCAAGATATAATGGTAGTATGAAACGTTATAGGGCTGGGGCGTAGTTGGGCGTGTCCTCGGAAGCATTATTTCCTCGATAAAGGATAGTGTGCTAGATGATTAGCAACCAATGCTGTAGAGCATGGCGTAACTCCAAAGGGAGATAAATCATGAAATTGTGGGCGTCTGCGGGGGCTAGTTTACTCAAAGTAGAATTGCTCATGACACGACCACGCACAATCCGCATCGGATTACCGGGATGGATACTTTCTTGCCTTCGTGGTGGCTGTGTTTATCTGAAAGTTTCGTTGGGCCCTTAAGTAAAAAGGTAGTAGATAAGCTTCGACGTCGACCAAGATCCGGAAAATTGGCTCAAACCCCTTTTTCATTTGGGACTTCAGGAAACGTAGAGCTTTCTTCAATGCAGGTCCTGGTCCTTGGAGGGTGTCATTTACATTTTATGAACTTGTTAATTATCGAGCTCCCCGGGGTTCGGCTTACATAGCGTGCACTTACAAAGACTTCTTAGGGTATCTGTCGTAAATATTAATATTTTCCCTTAGTTAATAAAATTTTGAGAATTATTACTGCAAATAAATTGCGGGAAGTGCTTACGGAATTTTATCTCTATTAGGGTCTTTGCCCTTGGCGTATGTAATGATCGCAACTCGGTTACTCGTTGGAAATAATTGCCCCGTCTATACAAAGTAAATCTTCGTATTTACTTTATTGCAACTTACTTTTGCTCCCGACGTGTAAATCCGTCTGGAACAGAAGAGAGTCGTTCCAAAACAAATAGAATTTTCTTCTTATTCTGTTTTTTTTTTATTTTTTTTATTTTTAAAGTGTTTGTTTTTCTCTGATTAAATTTTCTTCAACGGCAAGGTCGGTAATGGGTGTTCAAAGGTGGCTTCCAGTTAAATAGAAACTTTTTTGCGAAAAATACCGACAATCGTCTTTCACCATTCTTTAAATCGGGTAGTAGCCTCCGTTCAATGGCGCGTTTTTAACACTCTTCTCCCATTTTTGTTGTGATGTTAATGCCTTTCTATCTCTAGATCATCCCTTTTTCCTGTCTCCGTCACCACGTACATACGTACGCATATGCATTTACTCGAGAGTCTGAAATTTATTGACAGCTCAATTTGATATTTTCTTTGTATATTTGTTTATCTAATTTTTTTATTTTGACTACAAACATTGGATCAATTCAATCTTAATATAACCAAAACAAAAAATTTATGGACAGGCAAATAATTGTTTTTTGTTTTTTGTTTGTTGTTTTTTTTTTTTTTTAATAACCAAAACTCACACTCACAAAGATCATTGCTTTCAACTTTTCAATTCACTTTTGTGCGATCCGCCCTTATTTGCGATATTCCCAATGCCATTCTTTTATTCCTCCAATGGATTCTCGTCGACCGCTACAGGCTCCTCGTCCTCTTCTTCTTCCTGCGCTTCTTCTTGCCATTCGGTGCCTTGTGGACGGCAATGAGGTAGGGAATCATCCTGCGGTTTCTCAATTGTGTTTTGATAGTAAATATTCATGTCGGGACGATTCCATATGCTTTGCACCCACTCGATACCGAAATCATATTTTGCACACGTGCAGTATTTGCGCGAACGATGACACACTGGGCATTTCGCGACATACGCTTGTTGATGCACAATGCCAGCCTTCTTTTTGCGCTTGCAACAGTGTGGACAAGTGTGGGGCTTCTTAGGTGGTTTGGTCGTCGTACATGGTGGCGGTTTGCCATACACAAGATGACCACGTTTCTTCGCGCAGAAACAGCAATTGCATTGATCATGGTCAGGTTTGCTTTGACGCGATTGCATGCGATCGTAGAATTTCTTGTAGATAACTTTAATTTTAGCTTCAATACCACGTTGTTCGTCGCACGACAAACCATCGAATTGAGCGTAACTCTCTGCTGTTTTTTTCGCTGCATGCACATAGACGCACTCGTCCGAAAAGCTCGGACGACCATTGTAATCTTTGGCTGTTTCGTCTATTTGCGGACTATAATAGTAAGCCTTGAAACCTCTCTTAATTATAGTATAGGCCAAATGGGCTTCCACCCGATTCATAAGGCACTTGCGTCCCAATTCATGAAATATATCCTCTTTACGCAAGCGTTTCTTGGGCTTCTCATCCAAGCAATAACAGACTAAGTCATAATGGAGAAAAGCATAAGTAATGATGTCGACAGCACTCTTGGCCTTGCATTCGTGCAGACCGCAAATAACCATTATCTGAGCCAATGTGTGGGATAGATCAATGACATTCTCTAGAAATATCGTGGAGCCACTCAACTCTTCTTGAGCGCACTCGCACTCATTCTTATCCATTACACCCAAATTGGCATGACGTTGACATTCTTTGTGTTTACAATTGGTCTGACACCGGAAACTAGCTAAAGCTTGTGGAGCCTGCATTGCTTTCAATCGTCAGTTAATTATTCGTAAAAGTTTTTGAAGTGTTTGGTTTTTACTTTTATGAGATTACAACAGAAAATTTAGTTTAAAAAAAAAATCGGAAAACGTGTTTTTTGGTTTTTCTTTTTTTTTCAAATATTTCAAATGTTTTTTTTTTTGTTTTATTTCCCTTTTATTGATGATATGAAAATCAAAGCATTACTGAAAAAACCTTGATATCAAATGCTAAAAAAAGTTCGACAAGATTTCATGAGTATTTTAGCACAGATGTGTGTTTTCACATCGCTTATAAGCACGTGTGTGGGAATAAAATTACAGCCACTAATAGTTGTTCTCTAACCTCAAGTGGCTCAGTCATATTAGACGTACTGTACATTGCTTATTGATTTTCAAATGATCATTGCGTGTTTATGTATCCGGGAAACATCGCTTTTACCCAATTAACTGTGTATGACGAATATATATGTAATGATCCGTCCATCCGTCCTTGTCGGGTTTCCTCATAAAATGTTATCCTTATGAAATTGTGTTTGGCATAAAAACGTATCGTAGATAATATTTTTGTCATATTTTGTCAAGTGTTTCACGGGTATTCGAGTATATCGCTAAGGAGGTCGACACAGTTAATGCAGTTATAGTCCCCTAAAAATAGATTTTCTCCTCTTTGTCGTTATAACAAAATTTAGAAATTTTCACAAACGTGTTTAACAAATGTTTAAGAGAAGGCATAATTAAATAACGCATATTTAAAATAATTTTATAGAAAAATTATATGATTCTCACTTCACTAAAATTTTATTATTACAAATAATTTATGACTCTTGGATTTATATTTGCGTTAATAGTAAATATTTGGTATATGTTAAGTGTGGCTAAACTTGTAACAACGCACGTTAGGCAAAAAATTTTAATAACACGTTATTAGTCTTTCACAAATTGAACAGAAACCATTTTAAACTGCATTATGCGCTTAACGTTTTAAAAAATCGATAAGTTTTTATGCCTTGCACAACCTGTACTGCAAGGATATATTAAATCTGTGCGAATGTATGTAGAAGTACTTAAGATAGAACGACCTGATTGCACCAGCACCAGCTAGCTGGAGCGCAGTCGATAATTGGAGTGCAGTCGTTAGACGCAGCGCAGTCGCTGGCAGCCGTGTTGCTCCCTTGGGGTGCACCTATAGACCGCAGTTTTTAAGATATTGCGAGATGAAATTTGGTATAGTGACGTATTTTGGCCAATGGACCGTTCTGTTACACATGTCGATTCCGAATCACCTTCTCAATCAATCAATCTAGGCTTGTAGAGGATCACTTTTTCGACCACTTTCCTTTAACGCTTTATTTTGAAAACTCGCTGTATGAATAATTGTATTACGCGAATTGGTGTAGAGTCCTTCATTGCGGGCCGTGTACCTTATGCGTTTTCACATATTCAATCTGCATTATTTAAGAAAAAAATTTATAATCCGCCTGGGTGGCCGCATAAGCGAAAGATCCCGAGTAACGACAACGCAAAGGTCGTTGGTTTCCAATAAATACGGTAGCCTTAGCTGGTAGTGCCTTAAGGCTTTAGTCTTAGAATTTATTTATCCGGCTAAATTAGTAATTACAGTAATAATGTAATTATTTTAATTAAAATTTCGCTTTTGTTTAATTTTAGATTTTTGAAACTTGTTTACTTATTAGTTGTGTTCTTAATTTTTTTACTGCAAATTTACTCAATAAAAGTAATTATTGAAAATGTCGCGGATTGCAAGTAATTACGTTATAAATTAAACGCCACCAAATTATTGTTATGCATTTAACAACAAAAATGAAATTATTTTTTTAAACAGTTGTAATCATTAAAGCTTTGTTAGTAGGCGTCTATACGTCCATATGTTAGCAATCCTTGTACGTGTACTGTCCAACATGTTATCTGAAAAATTGTTTGGATAGCTTTTGCAGCAGTTCCCAGTATCTTTCCCACAACAAAATATAAACGCATTGAATGGCCCGAGAGGGAATGCGAACATATTTAGAAAATTCCGCAGTAATTGCAACAAGTCAACGCATTCTTATCCGTTTATCTTTACACCCAACAACCCATGGGGTAAATTTAATGCTGCAAAATTCTTTCCTGAACGGTAATTAAAACAAAGCGTTGCTACGACAACAATCATTAATCATTATTCTTATCATAGAACAAATTTTTGTTTATATAATATTGCAAGTTGTTTATAGGCAATCCGTTCTTTGCAAAGATATAATAAGATGATATGGCAGATAGTCCTTTGTCAAACCGAAATATCCGAAATGTATGTAATATCCATTATAACATAAAATTGCTTAGTTATTTAATGTTTAAAAAAAAAATGAAAATCTCTTCATCGTCACATAATTTGTGGACGACAAACAACGACAAACTAATAATCGTTACTTTATTGTTCGTATTTAGATGGCAGTTCATTGTCGTTTGCCGTCGAAGACGAGTATGGTAACACCATTCTCACACTGTCTCGATTTTTTAAGACAACAACGCTCACATACTTACTTACGTACGACCTTAGCATTGAACCCAATGACTGCAATTGCATCGTACATTCAAGATTCGCTTGAACATCAAAATACGATACGATGTTGTCTGTATACGCAGTTGCCCCCTGTAGCTTGCAACACATTCAATAGCGATATTTTGCTTGATGGCCGATGCGAACATTCAGTGCTTTACCAACTCAGTTTTTGTAATCGCTATCTTAAATCAATTCATTTATTGGAGACAAATTTAAAATACATTAGAACTCGTATTTATGGTTAAAAGATGTTTACCACAAAGAAGTCAACCACATATATGCATAAAAATTTCTTGTTGCCACTCTTAAGGCTTTAAATTAGCCATAAATGTTTGCCTAATTTCAGGAAAGTTTAGTCTTATATCCCATATAAAATTTATTGCCATCTCTAACTTTTGTTGTAATGACTTTCTCAGTTGAAATTTGTTTCTCGTTCGTATGTTTGCCCGAAATCGAATAAAAGTGCAATCTAAAGTTAATCTAAAAGTACAAGTTGACAACTTATCAAGTATATAGAAATAGGGAAAGTTCAACACAATGAAATGGTTATTTATTATCTCAGGGAAACTTTACATCCATGCGTACATAGCTTGGAATACTTGAACAGGTTTTTTTTTTTGCTCCTTTCTCTTTTCAAAAAAATATAATCAATAAGATATAGTTAATAATTTGGTCAATCCACAACGTAGCTGAAGGATAGAGAATTTTTAATTTTCCGCTGAAATACATATTTCAACTCTAACTGGCGTAATCAGTTCATAGTAATGTGCTGTTCATAGTTAAGGGTATCAAAAATGAATGCGTTATTCCGCCTAGTCAGAGGCAGGGTATAGGAATTGTAATCGAAATTTCAAGTACCCTAGCAATATATTTGACGAAGCAGAGTTCACCAAGCGTACACTCATGTTTGATCTCTTTATTCAAACGAAAGCCTATACATATAAGATTCGTGAAACTAAAAGAACAACAATGTAATGTTGCGTATTTCAGTGCATACGCGCATGAAAAGAATAAAAGCGGAAGGAAAAAGTTCGGATAGGATAATTAATGGCAGCCACTTTGCAATTGCAAACTTTGGTTTTTTTTTGCAGTGATTCGGACTCTGATTTGGACTCTGCATAGTGGAGAAAAGTGGGGATATTGCAGTAACTGTTAGCGGAAAGCTTTCTTGGCCTTTCCTTATTAAGCCTTAAGAGTAAACAGAAAGTCTTCGCATGACGTAACAAAAGAAACGTTTAACCTGCGTAGGAATTTTTCGAATTCTCCCATTCTTTTGAAAACAATAAAAGCAGCGTCACTAAGACCGCTGTGACTCGTAAAAGTAATTTTAAATTTTTTTGTAAGAGAAGCCTTTGCCTTCCGACCCCGGCATTTATCGACCGCTGTGTTTTACGTAAGGATTATCACATTAATTACCTCTATTTCGCAAAGAGCCAGTAATCACACGCTGCATCCATCTCATATTCGGTTGTGTTATAGGCGAAGTCTACTGTATAATATTCTGTTGTTGCTTTGATAAATTGGGAAAATACTTAAGAGCTTTTTTTCCCATTCGTCATACTGGATGAAAAGCATACGTGAAGTCAACAAATAGAAGAAATGGTCGTCATTTATTTCATTTCCTTAGTCATGGAGAATGAAAGAATAAACACAAAAGCTATTTGCACAAAGTTACATATTTTTTGTTTTTTTTTTCTTGTAAGATTAACTCTGCTCTCTGAATTTGAAAAGGCAAACACATGTGTCACTAGGGCAATCCTTCTGAGCACTATATTGAATTACTGAAGAAGTAAGTAAATTGAAAACCAGCCAAGATTTTGAGAATAAATTTTCCTAAACGAAGGATTAAAGAAACATGTCATGATGGCCCTTAGTCCTTCCATTAAACAGTTTGCAACAAATAAACAAAACTTAATGAATGAAAATTTTTTCATTAAATTTGTTGTTTCAATGACAACCAATTTCAACTTTACCGCTTTGAAATACAAAATAATAAAGGACAAGTTTAATCCAATTACTTTTTCCCAGGACAGTGTTAAGCATATTTTCCACTATTCATCTCTAGTAGTAATAAGAGCAATGATATGGAAAAATAATTGATTCTCGGTAAAGAAATTTGAGAAATGTTTTGAATAATTTAAATTTGAAATAATATGAAAATAATGAAACGATTGTCATTGATATTCATGGAAATGTGGTGTTTGTTACGCCCTTTACCGCTCGTTGTTCGTATTCTATACTTCAAGGTCTTTTTGGAAAAACGAAAAGCTACCGTTGTTTGCCTTTTCCGAAGGAGTGGAATAATTGACATGCACGTATGCATTAATTTAATTATATTGAAACCTCCTAAAACAAATTGCTTCTGTTTTTATGCTTTTTATACAACTTTTCCATCGTTATGAATATAGTCAACTTTTATTACATTTATATTCGTTTAACTCGT